GCCAAACGAAATGACCGAGTAAGAAAATTTTTATATGTATATTAATTTTTACAATTATCTTTAAGACTCATCATAAAATATTCAGACTTCGAGCTGAAATCGCTAAAGTATGTGATCAGTCACTTCTCTGTCAATCATCAACTCCTGGTGAACTTGGTTCGACGTGGTTAAAAAAAGTTTTGGAATTGTTTCAAATTACAAATTTGAATCATGGTTTGATGCTCGTTGGTGGTAGTGGTAGTGGCAAAACAACGGCTTGGAAAGTTTTATTAAAAGCGTTAGAGCGTCTTGAAGGTGTAGAGGGTGTTGCACATGTTATTGATGCTAAAGTTAGTTCCGTAACTTTTTTTTTACCAAAAGATTACAAAGATTTTAATTTAGTGAGAAGTTAGAGCTTTCTAGAATCAATCATTTCTTTAATACCAAATGAATATCGAAGGTGATGAGCAAGGATGCATTATATGGCGTACTTGATCCGAATACTCGTGAGTGGACCGATGGGCTTTTCACACATATTATTCGTAAAATTATTGATAATGTTCGTGGTGAAACATCCAGACGACAATGGATAATATTTGATGGTGACGTTGACCCTGAATGGGTGGAAAATTTAAACTCTGTACTTGATGACAACAAACTGCTTACTCTACCAAATGGTGAACGCCTCGGAATACCACCAAATGTGAGTTTCAAGATAACTCAATTCTCCTGCTTATATCTATTAATTTTTCATTTTTATTTTTTATATTTTTTAGTTTCTCACTTTTTTGGTTGATTTTTTTTTGAAACGGTGTTTGCACTTACATGTTGTGGTAGCATACTGTAATTCTCCAGGTTCGTATCATTTTCGAAGTAGCGGATTTAAAGTACGCCACATTGGCAACCGTATCTCGTTGTGGTATGATTTGGTTTAGCCAAGAAATGGTTACATGTGAAATGTTATTTGATAATTTCTTAAAACGTTTAAGAAATGTTCGCCTTGATATTGAGCAATCGGTTTGTTTCTTTATGGATTGTGTTTATTATTGCATTGATTAAATCAATATACATTGAGAGCAGTGTTCCTTAATTATGATTCATATGTTAAGCGTTATTAGATCAATTTGAAGATTGATATATTATCGATGAAAGTAGCACCAGAAGAAGGCACAACACCAGAAGCTGAGCGAGTAATTAATCTGCAAAGAAAATGTGCTCATTATTTAGCACAACATATGAGTGCCGATGCACTTGTTCCCACAACTTTAAAGTATGCTATAACAGAACTTGATCACATTATGGTACCAACACAACAAAGAATGATATCTTCATTCTTCTCTATGATGAATTATGCAGTTCGTCAGCTCATCAATTACGAAAATGCTCATCCTGATTTTCCGATGCCGGTAATCAAAGTATTATTTTTACAAAATTTAGTACTAAATCAGAAGTGTTTGTTATTTGATTCAGATATTTGCTCTATTTTCAGCATTTTTAGGATGAGGAAATCGAATCTTATATCACACGTGTTATGTTGGTAAATATTGTTTGGGCATTTAGTGGTGATAGCAGGTGGAAATCGCGTCAGCAGTTAAGCGACTTTGTACGTCAGTCATCCACTCTTCCTTTGCCACCTAATGCTACGGTAAATTCTATAATATAATAATTATTTTTGGATTTTGTGATTTAATTGGCAATTAATGTTTATAACATCGCGTTATAATTATCGAATTAAGCAGTCATAGAAATTGGATGAATTTATTTTCGTAAATTCTTTTGTGAATTTGAAAATGAGAGTTATATGTGGATTGTAAAAATATTCATACTTCGTTATTGTCATTCAAAATCGAAATCTTCAGAATACAAATTTTTGTATATTATTTTTAATCGCAGTTACCAATCATCGATTATGAAGTGGCTCTCTCGGGTGAATGGTCTCAATGGACTTCCAAAGTTCCGAAAATGGAAGTGGAAGCTCATCGTGTAGCGGCCGCTGATTTAGTTATCCCTACAATAGACACCGTTCGGCACGAAATGCTTCTTAATACTTGGCTTTCAGAACATAAACCATTAGTGCTTTGCGGCCCACCGGGTTCTGGAAAAACAATGACTCTTCTCTCTGCACTTCGCTCATTGCAAGTAAGTTCATTCAAGTATAATATAAGAATTTTTTCCCGGAAAAATAATCATATTAAAAGTCTATCTCAAAAAACATTTTTAAGCATCTTGTGTTTCTAGAACTTTTTATAATGTATGAGAAGTGTAGCAGCTGCACATGAATTTCATGGAATTTGTTAAAAAAGAATTTGATTAAATTCAAGTTTAAAAAAGAATTTGATTAAAATTTCCGGTTTTAAGTTATATTAACTGTGTTTTTATTGCTATTTTGTGAGGATATGGACGTTGTGAGTGTAAACTTCTCCTCATCTACCACTCCGGAATTGCTAATGCGCACGTTTGATCATTACTGCGAATATCGTCGCACTCCAAATGGTGTTGTTTTGGCACCAGTTCAAATTTCAAGATGGTTGGTCATATTTTGCGATGAAATCAATCTTCCATCACCTGACAAGTATGGTACACAGCGAGTTATATCGTTTCTGCGTCAGCTTGTTGAAATGGTTAGTACTGGAGATTTATTGCTCAGTAATGACTTAGAGAAAAAAAATCATTCGTTGAAATAAATTTAGAATGGATTCTACCGGCTCTCGGACCAAACGTGGGTATCTTTGGAACGAATTCAGTTTGTTGGTGCTTGCAACCCACCTACTGATCCTGGACGACATCCACTCTCACTGCGTTTTTTACGTTACGTTCCAGTTGTCTATGTTGACTATCCTGGTCAAACATCTCTGTTACAAATCTATGGAACCTTCAATCGAGCTATGTTGCGTTCGGCTCCATCAGTCCGTAGCTTTTCAGAACCATTAACAAATGCCATGGTTGATTTTTACTTACAGTCGCAGGTAAAAAACTTACCAATCATTTACTACTTTTGATTTATTAAGCATTTTTAACAAACAAAGATAATTTTTGTTTTTACACTACGAGTTTCCACTTCTAATTATTTAAATATTTACATATATTGCATAGGATGCCAAAAATTTTGCTTTAATTTATTCTCAAGGAGCATTTCACTCAAGATGAGCAACCCCACTATATTTATTCTCCTCGAGAACTGACTCGTTGGGTTCGTGGAATTAGCGAAGCAATCACTCCTCTTGATAGTGTTTGTCCAGAGGCGCTCGTTAGATTATGGGCACACGAAGCTTTGCGTCTTTTTCAAGATCGTCTTGTTCGTGACGATGAACGGGAATGGACTGATCAATTGCTCGACAGCGTAGCTGAAAAATACTTCGGTGCTTCGTGTGATCTCAAACGTGCATTAGAAAGACCAATGCTTTATTCGTGCTGGTAATGACTGTATTTATGTTTTCATTGTTTCATGTATTTAAAAAATTAAATATTTGAAATCTTACAGACCACCATCAATTTTCAGGCTAACGAAGCATTATTTACCGGTGTCAAAAGAACAACTGAAGGAGTATGTTACGGCACGCTTGCGCAGTTTTTATGAGGAAGAACTCGATGTTCAGTTAGTTCTGTTCGATCAAATGCTTGATCACGTATTACGCATTGATCGTATTTATCGACAGCCACAAGGTCATCTTCTACTGATTGGCACTTCTGGTTCGGGCAAAACAACTCTCTCCAGATTTGTTGCTTGGATTAATGGGTTGTCTGTTTTTCAGGTTAGTGATCAAGCAAAAAAAAAACTTTCTTTTATCATATAACCGCCTTTGGATATGCTTTTTTTCAATGTATAAGCGGTCAGAATGCAGTTTTGTTTTAGTTGAAAGTTCATTCCAAGTATACAGCAGCTGATTTTGATGAAGATATGCGAACTGTACTTCGTCGAGCGGGTTGTAAAAATGAAAAGATATGTTTTATTATGGATGAATCAAATATGCTTGACACAGGTTTTCTAGAGCGGCTCAATACTTTGCTTGCGAATGGCGAGGTGATCCAATTATATTTTAAATTGTGTATGAATATATTTGAAGCATTTACACC